ATATTGTGGTGGGCCACCACAAATAAATCAATGTATGATATCCACTGTCACTTCTTAGCCATTAGTATGCTATTCCTCAATACCACATCTCTCCAGTCTCTTCACTAATAAGCTGTGATCAATAGAATCAGATGCTTTTCTTTAAGCAAAAATGTCAAACATTACTTTTATTTGCCTATATATTCATAGTTCTCAGTTGTGAAAATTAGCTTCTCGTCTTTGTATTATGCGAGTTCTTGTTAAGTCTTGTTTGTAAAATGTCAGAATAAAATAATCTACAGATAAATCAATAATGAGAATAATCATTGATTATAGTTACTCTTATGATATGTCAGGTGATCTGCTGACTGAAAAGGTGCAGCAGTCATTGAAATAGTTTTGACTCATCCTGTTAAAGAACGAAAACAAGGCCTTGAAGGGTGAAGGATTTATTTGTAGCGTTGCTATAACTTCAGGGCATGACAAGGCAGCGCTGCAATTTTATTCTTAAAACTGTCAGTCATTTATTTGAAACTGGAGTGTCTAGTTTTAGGACAGTCATTTTATTGTGTATCAAAACCACAGAAGGTTCCTTTCATACTACGGAAGAAACGACGCAACTGTTGCCAAGGGACTAAAAGAAACTACGTCGAATCTACCTGTTGTTGTTGTTGTTGTTGTTGTTGTTGAATAAACATTTACTTAATCTTATTTTTATCTCCCTGGTGTGCTGCTGTTCAGCCGTGTGATACATACAGTAAGTGACTGACCATATGGTTTGGTATATGAGCCACCTTTCAAAGAAGTAATCCCAAGCATCCAGTAAATTCTGTACATACACATTGTATAATGTACAGAATATTTCAATAATATGAAGTTTGTGAACCTTTTTGATTGTCTGGCACTGACACAGAGGTGTCATCCTCAGTTCAGTTTAGAGCCAGATGTGTTGATCTTGCTGATGGGTAAACAACAACCACAAATATTGCAACAATAATGTGATCAGAGCAATGATTAATTTAAGAGGGTTTAAATTGGATAAGCAATGCAGGGTCAGCCAGCCATGTTGACTTGTAACACTCCTGTTCAAATGTATGAGCAATGCGTTAAATATTATAAAATTAACTATTTCTGTCCGTAAAATATGTGGATAGTGTTATTTCTGTATGTATTACTTTTAGCGTGGTGGGGGATACGTCTAAATATAAAGAACAAATGGAGGTTCAGTTCAGCATTAGGACCACTATCCCATGTTTGCATACACTTTTACATTGTGTGCATCGCTCTGGTGGTATAGCTGCATAATAAAGCAGTGCACACAGCAGTGTGTGAAATGCCAGGGACTTATCTGGATATGCTCAGGAATGTGACAAGGGACTGAGGTGTTAAATCCGGTGAAGATCGAGGCAAAGAGAGGC